ATGCCAGTCACAGATGCCGGCAAGCTCCAAAGAACTGAAAGGCCGAAGTGGTATGAGAGTTGAATGGAGAGCAGGCATGATAATATGGTGAGGCTGGTGGTTTGCTAATGCCAATTTGTATGGATAAAGAGTCAAGGAGAATGGTGCCCATGGAGCAGGTGGGGAAGGAACAATTGCACTGCAGCTGGGACAAGCATTTGGTGAGCTGCAGCTGCTAAGTACCCACTTTCATTTACCTATCAAGAATTTGCAATATCTAGTTTCTTGGAGAAGGAAACATTTGAATATGAGGATTTAAATATTTAATAAGATGCAAATATATGGAAGTAAGGTGCTGAATCTTATTGGGGTCTGAGTGAGGTGGATGATGGTGAAATTTATGGTTGAATCAAACGAAAAGTTCAACAAGTTCAATCTCAAAGTCAGGAGCAGCTGGCTTCATTTCTTATGTTTTTGAAAAACAACATGGCGAGTTTCTCACTAAGCAGCAAGTTGCCAATTCATGGGGCTTATTGCTTGTGAAACACCTTGTTGACAGTCCAACTCATCTGTTTAATATCCCACATCCCATCATACCCAACTCACCAAGCAAACTAAACATTGAGAAAACACAACAAGGAAACCAATGTGGATACCTGGCAAATTCAACTCAATATTTTCTTCAAAGGAGACTGGGCACTAACATCTCAGAATATGGTCCATTGGCACTGGCCACACGCATCCCACATCTATGGACATTGGCATCTGACATGTACCACCTCTAAGAACCCTCATGGCACATCTCTGAAACACTTAGAAGATGCTCCTGTCCTTCAAAGCTACATCTTGGGCTGCTCCAGCAACTATCATTGTAATGCTGTAGCAAGGACAACTTGTGCTCAAGGACACATAGCCAGCTCATTGTCTGGACCAGGCTGTATCTCTGGGTTTTTTGTTCATTGTCAGCCCAACTGGATGCTCTCAATGTCTTTGCCTTGCTTTGTTTTCTTGGGCTTTGCTCCCACAGGTATAGATGTGAGATTCATACTCCTGCTGTCTTGCAGTGCCGTTTAACGCAGACACAAATTAAGGATTGAAAGCAAAGTGAATGGTGGAAATCAGAAATCAACACAGAAAATGCTTGAGAAGCACAGCATCTGTGGAGAGAGAAACAGAGTTAGTGCTTTGAATCTGGTTTGATTCTCCTTTTGTAAGGGAGTTGGTCATGGTTGTCAACAGGTCTCAGTCAAGTCAAGGGGGATAGCCTTTGATCAGGGGGTCAGCCACTAAGGATGGACAGAGTCAGGATGTTGTCATGCTCTCATGCTGAAACTCATGCAGCTCACCACCCACCTTGAGTCTTTCTGCTTTCTGGGGTCTTCTTCCCTCTGGAATGAAAGGGAGGCAGCAATTTAGGGAAATGAAAGTGGGTACAGCTGTAATTTCTGGTGCAAGTGAGGTGAATGATTGAGTAGGCAGCACAGAGGACGTACAGGCTTAGCGGTGTTGGGGATTGAGGAGGGTGACAGCAAGTTGAGAAAGACGTTGCAGGCAATAGTAAAGGTGGTGGAGTATGTGTCTTGGTAGAAAATGAGCACAGAAGCAGAGCTAGAGTGTGGGTGAGATATCAAATAGAAGATGGTGACCTGTACATTGAGGGAGGAGAGAAGGACAGTGACCTCCTTCCTACAGTGCTGGGCATTCATCCACATGACTGAGAGTATGTTGACCTGGATGGCATCCTCAGACCATGCTGGCATGATGTAGATCATGGTCTCCTTTGCTGGTCCTGGGGGAAGAGCAAGTCCCATGACTGCATCACCTCATCTAGCAGGATCTCCAGGTCCCTGCCTGAAAAGTGGTGTGGTGTGCCAATTTCTTCCTGTCTGTCATGGCCATAGAAAAAGTCAGGAACTGTGCGGGCAGCTCCAGACTGACAGAACTTGCTTGGATGCAAAATGGGCTTTTAAAGATGGTGCAGCCACAAGGGAATCTGGTGAATTCCTGCGTATCCATTGAGTGGCGAGTTGTCGTGGAAAAATGGGCCAGAATCAGACATGAGGGACACCATAGTTAACAAGACAAGTTTGGTAAGATACAGTGAGAAATCCCTTCATAAAACCCGACACAACTTCGATTAAACCCAAACATGTCAGAATCATCCCCTCATAGTTGCTGCTCAATGATCTGAAATCACCACTGAAAGCTTAAGGAGAAATCATGAAAAGATTTCCTGACATCAAGATTCTGATGTTTTAAATCTTTCTGTGTTTTCTCACCTTAGTCGCCATTGCTCATGGCACAGCAAGGAGGGGAGAAGGTGACCCTGAGAGTTGGTGGGTTTGAAGCCTGGGTGGAAAGGGGGCTTGGCACATGAAGTACTGCAGGTGACCTTCCCTCTGCCCGCCCACCACACCTCCACCTAAACCTGCCTGAAGTTTTAGGAGGGGAGGAGGAAGCCTGGGGATGTCCCCACGTGCCTCCTGCCAAGATTGAACCAGTGACAGCAAGGCCCATGCTATACAAGAAGCCCAGCACCTTAGCTGCCGCTGGTATCAGGGTAATTGGTGAGGGGACCTCCTTTGCCAGTACTCTGGGGCCAATAAGAGGTAACCGTCTTCCCAGGAGTGACCTCCCTTTTTACCCTTACCCCTGTTGCTGAGACCCCTGGGTATACTGCTCTTTTTGAACCTCATATATAGGAATTAGGGATTTGAGTCTCAAGCGATTTTGAGCACAGTTTTCGAATCTTTCAAAAGTTATATTGCATGTTTCACCCTTTGCATTTTGTATACTTTAAGTGCAAGCATTAACCAAATAAATATAGCATTTATATCTACTTTAATATTTATTTTGTTTACTCTGCAGCCTTATTACATTTATTTCTGCTTTAAGTGATCATCATTGTGATGTTGGCTGGTGTTAACCAGTTTAGCAGCATTCCACTGTTCTTTATTTGAAGTGTTTGCAGTTTGTGTATTCCTTCTTGTCACTGAATCTTATTTCAGATTTATTGGATCAACAGAGTGAACCTTCTTGAGCCAGTGTGTTTTGCACAAAACAATTTTCAATTATTTGTTTAAAATTTGAGCCATGTAACACAATAGGTCTGTTTGTGGCATGTTCTCTTAACTCCTGTTCAGCCATTTTGTTTACTTTCTGAATTGGCAGCAATGTTGGGTGCTCATTTTCAGATGGTGGGACTTGAACTGATTGTGACAGAGGTCAGCGATGAATCATATCTTCGCCCATTGTGTTTTGTTCAGTTTGCCTCTTTACTGCCTCTACCAAATGCAGTTACACAACTAGGGATCATTTGGAAGTGAATATGAACTTAATTTTTCCTCCAATTACCAAAGGTTGCGGTGTATAAGCCGATCCAGTGTACAACATGGCTCTAATAATTTTGACCACCAGAAATCATGAGTGGAATCTTATAGGGGTCTAAGTCATGTGGTCTCCAGTGAGATTTGTGGCAGAAATGCACAAGAAGTCCATTGAGGTCTATCTTAACCTTGGTAGCATCTCACTCCATGCTTTATGTTTTGACAAGTGGTGCAGTGAGTTTCACACTAGAAAGCAGCAGATTGCCATTTAAGGGGGATTAACACTAGTTAAATGCATTATTTACAGGCCAAACCGCCTTATTAGTATTCACCATACTATCTTACCAAACATGCCAAAGAAGCTAGATGTTGAGACAATTGACACGGAAGCCAAAGTGGGTATCTGGCGATTTCAGTTCGCTGCTGTCTCTGAAAGGCCTCCATGTTGGGCATTGCACATCAACGTCTTAACGCACGGTCCAAGAGTGCCAGCCACATGCACTTCACAGCCACGGGTATTGGCAGCCACTATGAACCCTCATGCCACATCTCTGATCAGCTCTGAGGATGCTTTTGCATTTCAAAGCTGCACCTCAGGCTGCTCTGACAACTGTGCTGTAATGCTGCAGCAAAGTCCCTAGCTCATGGACCTAGATCATGCATCTCAGGGCTCTTCGCTTGCTCTCTTGGTGTTCACTTACTCCGAGTCTGCTTGGACTCTCCCAGCATTCCACCATGCATACCTTACCTTGCCTTTTTGCACTTTTCCTCCATCAGCCAAAGTCACCAGGCTCAAATTATTGTCTCTGCCAGGTATCCACTCTTGTTTCCATGCCAAGTTTTCCAGATGTCCAGCTTGTTTGGCGAGTTTGGCAAGATAGAAAGCTAAAAATTAATGAGGTGAGTTGAGACATAAAAGAGGCATTTAATCACTGTCACTTGGCAATGTGTCACTGCCTTGTGAGAATCTTGCCACACAACCTGCAGAAAATGGAGCACTGAGATGGGCCTTGACAGCCTACTTGTCCAATTTTATCTCAAATCTCATGATAGCCCACATCCTTCAGATCCCTTTAAGGTTCCAGCCCAAATAGCCAATCAGATTAAGAAATGCCTGTAAAGAAATAACTCACATGCATTGCAGTTACCCCAGCGGAATCTAATAAACCACAGAATTGTTATGGCACAAAGGAGGTCATTTGGTTCATCGTGCCAGCACTGGTTTATGTTTGTAGTTCAAAAAAACATTCACAGATCTTGTCCATATCAAATGGAATAGCCTATTGTAGAAACAAACTTTTATCCTGAGTGGAAATATGTGCACTCCTCTCTTGATGTTTTGTGCGGTTCATTATCAATGACAAAGTGTCATCAGACCATTCAAGAGATGTAGAATAGCCAATTCATTGGATGGAATGGAAGATGATTCTGAAGGGGCAGGTGCTAATTCTGATCCAGAGTGGGATTCCAAAGATAATGGTCTCGCCAAAGCAACAACTGAATTTGATGAAAATGATGCATGAGAAGGCAATGAATTCAACTGCTTTAAGACACTTTGATTGTGATTAAAGGTGTCTTTTTACAATCACTTCACTCATTAAAACATGCCACATTCATTTAACATGAATTGACAGGTGTTTGACATTTCAAAATGGTAACCACCCACACTCATGGATCACATTTTATACTTGGTATATAAGTTGCCCCCCTCCCCAGTCCCACATCTTTGCAAGGTGTTTTGGAGGCTTCAGAGGTCGACTTATATGCTGCAATGTATGGTATTTCTTTTGGCTGTTCATAAACAAGCTGAAATATCTTTTTAATGATGTGCCAAGAGATTTTTATCAGTGAAAAGAATTTTTCATTTCATGGTAAACCTCTCCTGCTGTTTACACAGGATTTTTGTAAGTGAAGAGAGTGAAACAAACTGCTGTTAATGTTCTTCCATCAATAAGTACAGTTACATGTTTGAGTAGTTTTGGTATTAACTATGTCATTCAGTTTGCTAAATGTTACTTAACCTTTTATTTAAATTTCACTAATGCATACATCCATCACTGACTTTTTGATCTATATTGTATTTCCCCCTTTTGCAAACTTGGCTGATAGTACTTTCCTTCAATGCAGTGAAATCTCAGGAAAAATATTTCTAATCTGTGTACTCACATTTTAATTTGGTAAGGCATGATGAGACCTCACTGTTTGCAGAGAAACTTATCATATTCAGAAACAACATTACGATTTTTAAAAACACGATTTGCTTTTTCAAATATCCCAAAGCAATTGTTCAAGAAAAATGGTATCTTTGAACAATATTGCTTCAGGGTTGCTGGATTACTACTGAATAAATTGATCCAAACTCATTTCACTTTCCTCCCCTTTCCTTTTCAGTTTGCTCCGAAGTTATCCATCAAATCCTGATCAAAAGAATGGATAGGTGATTCACTTGCTAAGCTCTGTCAGTGCTGGTCTGTTGTTCTTCACAAGGGAGGTGAGATTAATGAGTCTTATCTTGTCTTCTGTTCGTCCCTCAGGAGAGCAGCACATCTGTATTCTGGAAAAAAATGCATCATTATAGGGAATTGCTGGCACAAATTTGCTGTGTGCTCTTGAATGCTGCAGTTTGCTACTGTACAATCCACAGTGTCACTAACCCTCTTGTTGATTGAAAACAAATAGTTCTTTATACTGCACAAAAAAGGTTGGTCTGTTTTTACAGGCCCAGATTTTCTCCTCCTCTCTGTGCCACTTTTTTTTAAACAACTGCAATCAAAACTGCACCATTTCAGGACAATGAGAGGTTTCATTACAACTTTCTTTCAGATTAATTTGTATTGGATTTTCTTTTTCTTTGTTTATGGGATCTTGCCATCTCTGGCTAGGTCAAAATTTATTCAAATGCTCTTTATTTGTTTCAATTACTGTCTATTTTTAAAAATAATTTGTGTTCCTAAAAGTTACATTTTATACTTAGTTAGAAAATCATTCATTTATATTCTTTGTCAAAATCTCTGATTAACTCTATGAAATACAGTGGAGATTTGAAGACTTGTTTTTCGAAATTTCGCATTAAGATATTTCTACAGTATATTTTAAAACTTGTTCATTTCTTATGAGAAAGTTAATGCCTAAATTTATTGAAGTCTCTAGGAAAAGGCTATTCAATATTCTTCACACAAATCTGGCTCTGATCAATATAATGTTTATTGAGTAAAAGTAAACAAGAAATTGTTGAAAGTACTTTTTTCTTAAATAAAATTTAATTTAATTGGACTCAAATCTTTTATAACTTATCAAACTATATGAAAGTCTTAGTTAACATCATTTCTAATTGTTTATAGGATTCTGTAAACAAGGCTTGAATAATATTTGTGTTTGTAATGTTGCTGCAATGCAAACATCATAAATTTTGTCATAACTTAAAATACTATTGTTTGACTGGTAATTTTCAATAAATCAATCTGCTTCTGTAGGTATAACATTGCTTCATGCTACTAATTCAGCAGGATATGCTTTGGGCATCTCCTATTATTAAGGATGACTTTAGAAATATATTTTCATGCCATTCACGTTTCATTAACCTTTAAAGGTGAGTTTTAAGTCTGTGGGAAACTTGGCTGATGGCTGTTAAAATGAATGAGGTACTTAGCTACACAAATCCCTCCTGTCTGTGATTCAAACTGAGAGGATTTTACAGGTATATGAGCTGCCCATCTAAAGCAATCAGAATCTCGGCATCATTCACACAATGGGACTCCATTGTATCAATGTGACCCCAACTGAGGCTTGAGGGGTGAAGTCAACACAACTTTACCACTAGGTAGAAGCAGACTTATGGTTTGATTGCATCCATGACATCGGATAGTCAGGTGACATCGGACCTGAAACGTTAGCTCTGATTTTTCTTCACAGATGCTGCCAGACCTGCTGAGCTTTTCCAGCAACTTCTGTTTTTGTTTCTGATTTACAGCATTCACAGCTCTTTCGATTTTTCTCATGGTTTGGTCGGTGAACCTAGAGCTATTCTTGGATGCAGGTAGGAGGAGGACGACTGCAATCAGCCCTGCCAAGACAAGTTGGGACCACTCCATTGCTTTGACGACCTTTTCTCTCACTTTCAACCAGCTAGATCTTCCCAGGATATCCTCCTTGCCACTTACCTGGAAGCTCTTGAGCCACTAGGGGTTGCATGACTGTCAACTGTGGGCTGTTATTCTTGTCCCCTCTTCACTTGTGTTCCATGTGAGAATTTGATTGATAGCATTCAAATGGTGTTGGTCCTCACCTGAAATCCATTGACTCCTCTGACTTTCAGTACTATAATAATCCTTTATTTTAGTGGAAATTGAAACCAAACCTGTTGGTATACAACTATTATGATTGTGATAAAATTGTTGCTGTTACTTTTTACAGGGCTTGAATTGTGAAATCTGCATCTATATGTAGTACCTTATGTACCAGAGCTTGGGCAGTTACCACACAGAGCTAAAGATCCTGATTACCATCAGCAAATCAGAAAAGGGTGTGCCTAATGGCAGATGAACTCCACAAGTAGTAAAATATGCGTATGGACTGTATCTTTAAAGGAGCATGGTCTCGTCCAAATTTGAGCAGAGTACAATTTTAAGCACAGAAAGAGACCAGTTTTCCCATTGCACCAGGACTGGCTTTCTGAAATAATGATCCACTTACTTGCATTCCTCTGACTTTTCTCCGTATCATTTTCCCATTTCAGATTTCTAACTCCTCTTTTAGATGCTACTATTAATTCTCTTGACTCCATTGTTTCTGGTCAGGCACTTTAAATCTTACCAACTCAGAGTAAAAAGAGACTTCTACCCTATTGCGTTATACTTCTATTGGTTATTTAGTGACACGATAACTAATGAAAATTAATCTTTCTCACTTATTTTATCAAAACATTTCATTATTGTGAATTTTTCTCTTAAATCTCCTCTTAACTTTCAATTGGAAGAAAGAATCCAGTTTCTCTGGACACATTTCATAAGTGATATTATTGAGATTTTTATTTTGTATTCTCTCCAAGGCCTTGACTTCCTCCCTGGTATGTACACAATAAATGAAAATTGGCATCTTTTTGTGAACATGCTTCATCAAATTTTTTAAAAATTTTACCTGTGAACACATGACGTAGTTATATAGGGATAAGCTCATTGTTGCAATACTTAGATTATATATCCTATGTTATAACAGTAACTGTGCTTTAAAAATATTTAAATAACTGTAAAGCAGATTGGGGCATTCGTCGCAAAGGCGCTATATAAATTCAAGTCAGTTTTGTTTGAACATGAAATCTTTGTGATGGTAATGATATACAGCTCTTTTAGCCAAAAACACTTTTTCTGTCTTTTCCAAGATGACACCCATTTATCAGAATCCATTTTTTATATTATTCTTCACTAAATGTATTAGCATGCATTTCTAAATAAACTTCAGGGCAATTTTCTGCCTAGGCTTTTGACATTTTCATTTCTTGCACATCAGGAAAAATATAGATGTCAGTGATTTTTTAGGTCCTTGTTCCCTAGCAGTTAATGATTTCTAACTTTGACAATAGTATTAGTTCTTTTTTAAAAAAATATTTACAAGATGTGGGCATCACTGGCCACATCAGCATTTGTTGCCCCTTCCAAGTTGCCTAGAGGGCAGTTAAGAATCAGTCACATCCCTCGTTAAATTTTACTTTCTGTTATGGCGGAGTTCAAACATGGGTCCCCAGAATATTACCTGTGCATTTAGATTAATACTGTGGTCATATTATGAGGCCATTACCTACTGTACAGAGTTATTTTGTTAATATAATTTGTCTTCTGTTTGGAAACACAAGTGTATGCCAAATTGACCAATATTTCTCCAGAGGGTAGCTAAATTTGTGGGTGAAATTGACTTTCATTGACCAGACCCGACTAACAATATATTGAGTACTCGTGACACAAGGTTAGTAGGCATACCTTAATTTTTCAGTAACATTTGAACATATCTTCTCACACTGAAAACAACAAACGCTGGAGATCACAGCACATCAGACAACATGGAGAGAGAGCAAGCTAACATTTTGACTCTACATGACTCTTCATCAGTGCTGAAGTGAAGTGTGAAGGGGGCAGCATTTATGCTTTAGTATGGGGGGAGGAGTGGGTGTAGTGGGAGTAAGGTGCTGGTGAAGAAAGGATGTTGATAGTTCAGATTAAGTGATCAGAATGTGAGAATGGCAGAACAATGGTGTGTCTAACTGCCAGAACTGAAACAGAAGACACGCCCACTGGGATGACAGGAGAGAACATGGTGACAGAGAATGTAACAAGTAAAGCTAAAAGAAAAGGAAGGAATGGGAGTTGGTTCACAATTTGAAGGTGTTGAATTCAATATTAAGTCCAAAAGGCTGTAAAGTGCCTAGTCTGAAGATGAGATGTTGTTCCTCTAGTTTGCACTGTGATTCACTGGAACACTGCAGTATGTCGAGGACAGACAAGTGGGTACACGAGCAGAATGCTGTGTTGAAATGACTGGCTACGGGCAGGTTGGGGTCATGCTTGTGCACAGACCGGAGGTGTTCTGGAAAGCGGTCACCCAGTCTGTTTGGTTTCTCAAATGTAGAGTAGCCCATTTGTTCCTAATATTGACAGAACACTAGACATAATTCAGAGCAAGTCATGCAGCATGTGTTGAGAGGGAAATAGTGTTAATATTTTCAGGTCACTGACTTTTCATCAAAACTGCAGAAAGTAAGAAATGTTTTGAGTTTGAATAGGGTTTTGAATCAGGGGTGGATGTTACAAGGGGGCAACATTTCTGCTGGGTGGAAAGGAGAGAGAGATTGAATAATAGAAGAGTTTGTCTTTTAGGGATAAAGGGAATGGCGTTAGGACAAGAGAATTAAAAAACAAAATATGTGCCTAGATCAGGGATGCTGTTTTTTGAGAGTCAACAGATCAGAAAACCAAAATATGCAGAGCAAAGTAACAAACTGGAGAGCAGAGATGAAGGCTTGAAATTGATGAATTCAGCATTGAGTCTGGAAGGCTGTAGAATGCTTTAATAAAAGATGAGGTTCAATTTCTCAAGATTATGTTGAGCCTTCCTGGAGCAGTGCAGCAGAATAAAGGCAGAGATGTTAGTGTGAGGGTGAGATAGAGAATTGAAGTGATAGGCCATTGCAAACTTGGTATCATGTTTGTGGACTGAACAATGCACTGAAGCTGTTCAATCTGCATTTGGCCTCCCTAATGTAAAGAATATTACATTGTGAACAGTGATTCCAGTACAAAATTCAAAGAAGTAATATAAATTGCTGTTTTACCAGGAAGGAGTGTTGGGCCCATGGATGGTCAAGACAGAGAAGCTAAAAGTGCAGCAGTTACATCTCTTGTGTTTGCAAGAAAAGGTGCTGCTGGAAGGCCTTGGAGGACTTGGGTGAATGAGGAATGGACCAAAGTGTCATGGAGAAAATGGCTTGTGTGGAATGCTGGAAGGGGAGATAAGGAGAAAATATGTTTCCAGTTTTGGTGTTGATCTTGCTTGTTATAGAGTCATAGAGTCCTACAGCACGGAGACAGGCCTTTGGCCCAAACTGGTCCCTGCCAACAAAAATGTCCTTCCACGCTAACCCCATTTCCCCACACTTGGTACATACCCTTCTAAACCTTTCCTATCCATGTATTTGACCTAATGCCTTTTAAATGTTGTTAATGTACCCATCTCAACCACTTCTGCTGGCAGCTCATTCCATTTGCGTGCTACCCTCTGTGTAAAATGTTGCCCCTCAGGTTCCCGTGTATTCTTTCCCCGCTTACCTTAAACTGATGCCCTCTAGTCCTCGATTCCCCAACCTTGGGAAAAACACTGAGTGCATTCACCCTATCCATGTCTGTCATGATCTTATACACTTCTATGAGATTCCCCCTCAGTCTCCTATGCTCCAAAGAAAAAAGTCCCAGCTTGTCCAACCTCTCCCGATAATTCAGTCTCTTGAGTCCTGGCAACATCCTTGTAAATTTCTTCTGCACTCTTTTCAATTTAATAACATCTTCCTTATAGCAAAGTGACCAAAACTGAACGCAATACTCCAAGTGTGGCCTCACCAATGTCCTGTACAACTGCAACATAATTTCCCAACTTCTATACTCAATACCCTGACTGATGGAGGCCAGTGTGCCAAAAGCCTTCTTCACTGCCCTGTCTACCTGTGACTCCACTTTCAGAGAACCGTGCACCTGAACTCCAAGGTCCCTCTCCTCCACTACACTCCTTAAGGTCCTACCATTCACCAGGGAACTCCTACTTTCATTTGACTTTCCAAATGCGACACCTCACACTTGTATATTAAACTGCATTTTGCCATTTCTCAGCACACTTCCCCAGTTGATCAGGATCCTGCTGCAATTTCTGATAAGCTTCCTCTCTGTCCAGGATACTGCCTACTTTAGTGTCATCCGCAAACTTACTAATCATGCCTTGTACATTCTCATCCAAATCATTGATATAGATAACAAACAGCAATGCGTCCAGCACCGACCCCTAAGGCACATCACTAGTCACGGGCCTCCAGTCAGATAAGCATCCTTCCATTATTATTCTCTGCTTCCTACCATCAAGCCAATTGTGTATCAAATTTGCCAGTTCTCCCTGGATTCTATGCAATCTAACCTTCCAGAGCAACCTACCATGTAGAGCCTTTTCAAAGGCCTTACTGAAATCCATACAGATTACATCTACTGCCCTACCCTCATCAACCTTCATGGTTACTTCATCAAAGAACTGTAACACATTTGTGAAGCATTGTATCCCGTACATGAAGCCATGCTGTCTACTCCTAATCAAACCCTGTCTTTCCAAATGCATGTATATCTTATCCCTCAGAATCTTCTCAAGTAACTTACCTACCACAGATGTTAAACTTACTGGTCTATAATTCCCAGGTTTTTCTTTGCAGCCCTTCTTGAATAAAGGCACAACATTCACTACCCTCCACTCTTCCAGGATTTCACCCATGGCTAACAATAATGCAAATATATTACCCAGGGTCCCCACAATTTCTTCCCTAGCCTCTTGCAGGATTCTTGGATATATCTGGTCAGGACCAGGAGATTTATCTACCTTCATATATTCTAATACTTCTAACACTTCCTCTACCATAATACGGACTGTCCCCAAGATATCGCCACTA